AATGTTGTTACAAGAAATAAAATTACTAATGTACCTCAAGTGTTCTGAACAGTATGTTTCAACCATTACTTTTATTTTTCCATTTAGGTTGGTTTTTAGCTCAGGTTTTTTTTTTTACCTAATTTTCAGATGAACTAATTTTCATGTTAGTGAGAATTTGAACATTGCTGTTAACTTATGCAAAATGTGAACAATCTTCAAATCTACTAGCGATATTTAAAAATAATCATTGTTTGGATTCACATCATATTGTACATCAGAACCTATATACTGGCAGTGATCATGTAAGAAAGATCTGTATTCTTAGAGCTAACCAAAATTGAAGAATAATTTCTATTCACGTCATAATAATTTTATGTGTAGACAGAAATATTTCCTGGAAACATACTCATCACAATAACTTGCAGTAGTGACAGAAAATATCACATGCATAATGTGAAAAAAAAACCTAGGAATAACAGCTTGTCTTTATATTAGCAGCATGTTGATTTGTACAGGTAACATTCAGCTTCTGATTGTGTGGAAGAGCAGATAGCTTTGTCCCTGGAGTCTGAGAGAGGCAGGATTGCTCTAAACATGCTCCAGCCAAAAGGGTGGACAGCTTAATGTAGTCTGTCAAGGCTGATTCTCAAACCACACACTCTGGCTTTTAAGTAAATTCTGAATTTTAAATAAATTTATCAAAGCTGTTTGCCCAGTGACAGCTTTTGAAACTGGAGTTCTACCCTGGGGTGGTAGAGTGAGTGGAGTGGGGCTTACTCAGGACCCACACCTGTCAGCTCAGTGTTGTGGGAGCTCAGGGTTGGAAGGGGGTGGGAGCACTGACAGTCTAGAGTACTGGTTTCTGTTCTGAGCAGTCTACTTAGGTCTCACGGACAGCAGATGGAGACATCAGTGATGATGATGATTGCCTCCATATGAACAAGGTGGTTCTGTGAGTTTGCTAGTACTGCTGTAACAAAGTACTGCAAACTGAGTGGCTTAAACAACAAAAATGTATTGTCTAACACATTCTGTTCTGGAGGCTAGAAGGCTCCAGAGATCAAGGCGTTGGCATGACCTCACTCCCTCTGAAGCCACCGGGGAAGCATCTGTTCCAGTGTTTCCTGGCAGTTCCTGCTGTGGCAGCGTAGCTCCACTCTTCACAGGGCCTCTCCCCGTGTCTCTGTCTCTTCGTGGGTATGTTCTTGGAGGGACATCGGTCACATAAGGTTAGGGATAACACAACTCTAGTGACATTTGCACAGCCTTATTTCCAGATAAGGTCATATTCTATATTCTGAGGTGCTGGAATTAGGACTTTAACATGTGAATTTGGGGGGTGGGGCACAGTTCAATCCGAAATAGGTGGCCATACATTTTTATTGTCCCGACTGGATCAGCTGTGTCAGTGAAAAGGAGTGCTGTTAATAATTGTTCCATGGTTGCTGGCACAGAGAATGCTTTAAACAAACCTGAATATTTGGTCAGAATATCTTGGAGATAGGTAAAGTTTATTCCATTTTTCAGAGGTTCACTAAGGTTGCATGGCTTCCGCGGAGTTACACCTAGAAGAGGATGAGCAGTATTCAGACTCAGAACAATCAGACTCTAGAAGAGGAGAAAAAGCTCATGTCTATAGTGGAAATTTGTGCATTATGATACCAGCTAAAATAGGGAATTAATTTGTTTTGCCCCATTCTCTAAAATTCCTTAGCATTTGTTATCTCTTTTTCCTTGCTTAATCAGTTTTGGCTGTCATGAAAGAAAATAATTTGATGTGTTTCGTTAGATTTAATTCACGTAACCAACAGCTATAAATCTTTGATTCTTTTATATTTTGCTGGCTATTCTGTTTGTATTTGGAGAGCAATCACACACATAAAGTTCTGTCGTTGATACAAAGAGAATAGCTGTGAATATTAAGGTAATTTACTATTGCTAAAAATTTCTGAAACATCTTCACCAACAATTTTACTGTTTATCATGCTTTATCTGTAATCTATATTTATTTAATTGTTAATAGATAAGATGGAAATATTTTAGCATTCTTCTTATCACTAATGTAAAATGAATTTACATTGAAAAGTTACTTCCTTTTCATACTTTCTGAAGAAGGAAATAAAATTATCTGGACTTCTGTGATATAAGTTACCTCCATGAGCATTAGCAACTTGCTGTTTTCTTCTAGTGTTTTTTCAGTGAGTTTGCATTGTTAAAGTTCAGTGATTAAGAAATCAATAAATGATAGTTTCTATTACTGCTTCTGTCACTGATGCTCTTACTATTATGGCTGACGTTATGAATATTTTTTTTTGTTCTTGTTGTCAAGGAAAAAAATTCTAGAAATATCAGAGAACTGAAATTAATAAAGCTTAGAGGTTAGATGTAGGGAGAAGTAAGTAAAAAATGGCTATTTAAGTTTCTTATTTGGTAAGTGGATGAATGTGGTATAACTAATCAGGACAGGATACATAAGACACATAGGGTCAGAGGATAATGTTCATGAATGCTGAATTTTAATTGTTGGTGAAATATACTAATGAAGATACCCAGTGGGTATACAGATATCTCAAGATAGGAGCTCAACAGAGAGATGGAATGAAGATAAACACATACTATCATTTTAGGGTTATTGGACCCTACTAAGTCTTTACTTTTTTGTATGTATGAAAAGTCACACCTACCCAGCTTCACAACCATAATAAAGTCAAGAACTCTCAGTCGATTTACTTAGTGCAAAAGTTGATTTTGTCTCCCAGAAAAAAATTGGAAAGCCTAGATAGTGAAGAGTTCTGTTCCAGTCTGTGCTGCCTTTGTTATTTTTCGGTTTTTCTTGCTTCCTCCTTGAGTGGTTGTCATTGTTTCACACTGTCCACTTCAGAGAGAGTTCCGAGGGAGTGTCCTGGGTGTGTCTCAAGGAGAGGCTGGGGGAGTTGCTGAGCTGGAGACTCTGCCGCAGTTGTTGGCAGGTGAGGTTACTGTCGACAAGGGTTCAAAGAGCAGGGCAAGTCCCCCTGTGCCCCAGGGCCTCCAGTCCCGGGAGCGTGGCTGGACGCTTTGTAAAGCACCTGGGCAGAGGTCAGGCAAGGCCATGGTGAGAAGTGACCACTGGTTTAAGCCGCAGGAAGCTCCTTGTTGAGCTGATGGACACATTTACTGGCGTGACTCAAGTAGCCTGTGCTTGGATGAGACTGAGTGAGGATGAGGATCAGATGATATGTAAGGGAGCGGAGGACCAGCATATTGCTTGTCCAAAGGCCTGTCTCTGAGGGGAAGGGAAGACAGAAGTTTTACATGTACGGAAGGCACGTATTTTATTTTTATTTATTTATTTTTTATTTATTTATTTATTTTATTTATTTATTTTTTTATCACAACCATAGTGTATCTTTTTTTTTTTTTTTTTTTTTATTTACATGTATTCCCCATCCTGGTCCCCCCTCCCACCTCCCTCTCCACCCAATCCCTCTGGGTCTTCCCAGTGCACCAGGCCCGAGCACTTGTCTCATGCACCCAACCTGGGCTGGTGAACTGTTTCACCCTAGATAATATACGTGTTTCAATGCTGTTCTCTTGAAACATCCCACCCTCACCTTCTCCCAGAGTCCACAAGTCTGTTCTATACATAGGAGTCTCTTTTTCTGTTTTGCACATAGGGTTATCGTTACCATCTTTCTAAATTCCATATATATGTGTTAGTATACTGTAATGGTCTTTATCTTTCTGGCTTATTTCGCTCTGTATAATGGGCTCCAGTTTCATCCATCTCATTAGAACTGATTCAAATGAATTCTTTTTAATGGCTGAGTAATATTCCATGGTGTATATGTACCACAGCTTCCTCATCCATTCGTCTGCTGATGGGCATCTAGGTTGCTTCCATGTCCTGGCTATTATAAACAGGGAAGGCACGTATTTTATTGTATTGATGTCCGATTGCAGCTGGGGTCTGGCATCCTGTTGTGTAAGTACATTGTCATTTCTTCATACTAGTGATTTTCAGTTACTGTCCAATCTGAATAACTAAGCTTTGATGAGTGAATATTTTCACATTTGTCCTGGAGATTAAATTTTGCTGTATTTTCTTTCTTTCTTTCTTTTTTTTTTTTACAGTATAACTTTTTAGAAAGTGTGATGTGGATGAGTATGCTTGCTTGTTTAAAAAAAAATTGGGTTTAGCTGTTTTCTAGATAATAACCTCTAGATATAACCTCTTCTTAGTTATGATAGAAAGAATAAATCACTTATTATTTAGTTTAACCAGTTCTGTTTAACATATATCAAATTTATTAAATCCTTTTAAAACTCATAACCTTATTGAGGTAAAGTATGAAATCTTTTTTAAAAACAAAGTATCAGCAAAACAAAGATCCCTATTATGTTCAGTACAGTGACAGAACACATTGATGCAAAATCTTTTTAACAAATTCTTACAATTAGGAGATTTAATTTGGTCTCGAATATTAAAAGGAAAGGGCTTCCCTGGTGGCACTAGTGCTAAAGAACCTGTCTGCCTCCTCCAACTAATAAAAATAATTGGGAAAAAAATATATATATGTAAAAATAAAATGTAACTGCAAAAAAAAAAAAAAAAAGAACCTGCCTGTCAGATGCAGGTTCGATCCCTGGGTCGGGAAGATCCCTTGGGGAGGAAACAGCAACCCACTCCAGTATTCTTGCCTGCAGACTCCCATGGACAGAGGAGCCTGGAGGGCTACCATCCATGGGGTCACAAGGAGTCAAGACTTGACTGAAGTGTCTGAACAAAGGGAGCGAGCTGGCTGCGGTAATTGTGGCTGGTGTCAGAGTGCACGAAGTGCTGCGGCTCACTGCCTCTCCACAGGAGAGGGGAAAGCTCCTCCTCTGCCCTGAGGTGCCCCTGGGGTCGCCTGGCCTGCCCCAGTCTCTTCGTGGCCATGCGCAAGTGTTGGCGAAGGCGTGGTGCAGCAGGAGTGATCGTACGTGCCTGCTTTGCTGCTGTAGACTTTTCTGACAGGAAGCCTGCCTTTATCTTGTAGGTGAGCGTCCCTATCAGTGCCCTTACTGTGAGAAAGGATTCAGTAAAAATGACGGCTTGAAGATGCACATTCGTACTCACACCAGGGTAAGATAATATTCTATCTTATTTCTTATACGATCCACACTTATTTTAAGATATTTACTTTTACCTGAGAAAGCAAAGGTGGTATATCTGAAACTTCATGCTTGTGGTGAATATTTGAGCATATCTTTTTTTTTAAAGATGTAACAATGAAAGAAGCAAAAATCCAAACCCCCAGAGCCTTCCCATTCTTTAAACTATGAACTAGTTCTTAGGAGTAGCAGGAGTTACAGCTGTCAGACAGCCCAGGAAGTGTGGCCGAGTGTGTGCCAGAAATGCAGATGCCAGCACTTCCCAAACAGAGGTGCCCTGTCAGCATGTGACCGTTAATTAACGTATGCGAGCTGGTATGCTTGCAGGGAAGATGTTGGATACAGTTTGAATTCCCGTTGGAGGTGGCTCTGCAGGGAGTGCCCCGTGCCGTCCTTCCTTCTTTTTCCAGGGATGCCCTCTGTGCTTCTGCTGTGAGCACCTCTCACCGGATCCTTGTCATCCTGTGACGTACAGCGTGTTCAGACCCCAGTGTCTGCGTCACATGCTGGAAAAAAAGCAGAGCAGCTCACCCTCTATCTAGCTGCCTTTCTTAGCTCACTGTTCAGTTTAGGACACAGACTTTGCATGGACTTCCCACTTGAACATTTGATGTTTTTAAATAGCTCTTGATTTTGCTATATCCATCTTTTTCATTGCTAACCTTTCACACAGTTCTTTTCAGTTTGGCCTTTTAAAAGTGCTTATGGTCTGTACATAAATGCCAAATTTTTTCAGATTTTGAGAGACGTGCCTAATCCCCTTAAGAGCAATTCTAATTTAGGCTTCTCCTGAATTCCATTTTTTTACCTTAGCTGTAAAATAAGAACTTTAGAGGAAACAAATAATAATAATATCCTTGCCAGTGTAATAGTATTCCAGCTTTCCACTTTAGTTTTGTAGGCTATAAAAGATAACCTCTGAGGTCCTGTTAAGAAAAGAGTCCTCTCGTGTTTGTGGTGGAGGAGGGAGGCAGCTTCTGTGCTCACTAGGGCAAATCCACATTGGGTTTCTCATTCTGATTTAAAATATAATACTTATATTTTGTGGATATTTTGAACTGGAGTAACTGCTAAGTACTCCCTTCACTAAGACAGTGAAGGGTTAGATAAATATTACTCCTCTTAATATGACTTATGTACATATCCAAGTATTTATTACATAGTGAGCACTATTAAAGAGGTTTAATGTTGTTTAGGAGGTTATTTTATATATGTACAGTTGTCACAATAGTGCCAATAATGTGTTTTAGACCAGAGCAAAGGAGTGCTGATTCCTTTTATTAAAACTCATGATGTTAACCAAAATCTTGGCCTTATGAGTGCATGTTAAACTGTTTTACAAAGTTATACCTCAGAAAAGGATGTTTGAATTCAGGGAAAAAGTACCTTTTGGGTGTTCTCAAGAATGGACAATATTTCCAGTTCAAATAATATGGTTTTTGCTTTGTTTATTCATGAGAATTATGCTAATAGTTAAATACAAAGGCCAGTAATCACGTCAGGCACTATATTCTAGGTGTTCACGTTTATTGATTCATGTAAGCTTCACAACAGTTCGTTAATGCATTCAGCCTCAATGAGGTAGGTATTATTATGATCTGTTCTTTTTAAAATATATTTATTTTTAATTGAATGATACTTGCATCACAGTGTTGCATTGGTTTCTACCAGACATGAATCAGCCATAGGTTTGCCCATGTCCCCTCTCCCTTGAGCAGCCCTCCCACCTCGCTCCCTACCGAACCCTCTAGGTGGTTACTGCGCCCGCTTTGAGCTCCTGAGTCACACAGCACGTTCTCACTGTCTGTCTGTTTTACACGCGGTGAAGTATGTTTCCCTGTCACTCTCTGCCCCCCACCCTCTCCTTCCCTGCCCTCCTGTGTCCGTGGGCCTGTTCTCAATGTCTGCGCCTCCACTGCTGCTCTGCAAAGAGGCTCATCAGTACCATCTCTCAGGGTCCCATGTGTATGCATTAGTGTACGATAATTGTTTTTCTCTTTCTGAATTACTTCCCTCTGTATAATAGGCTCTAGGTTCATCCACCTCATTAGGACTGACACAAATGCCTGCCTTTTTATGGCAGGGTGATATTCCATTGTATGTATGTACCACAGCTTCTTTATCTGTTTATCTGTCAGTGAACATCTAGGTTGCTTCCATGTCCTAGCTATTGTGAAGAGAGTTGCAGTGAACATTGGGTTACATGTGTCTTTTTCAATTTTGGTTTCCTCAGGGTATATGCCTAGTAGTGGGAGGCCTAGTAGTATATGCCTAGCTGGGTCATATGGTGGTTTTATTCCTAATTTTTTAAGGAATTGCCATACTGTTCTGTGTAGTAGATGTATCAATTTGCATTCCCACCAACAGTGCAGGAGGGTTCCCTTTGCTCCACACCATTTCCAGCTTTTATTGTTTGTAGATTTTATGATGATGGCCATTCTGACTGGTGTGAGGTGATACCTCATTGTAAATTTGATTGGCATTTCTCTTAATAATGAGTGATGTTGAGCATCTTTTCATGTGTTTGTTAGCCATCTGTGTGTCTTCTTTGGAGAAAGGTCTGTTTAGGTCTTTTGCCCATTTTTTGATTGGTTGTTTGTTTTTCTGATATTGACTTGTATGAACTGCTTGTATATTTTGGAAATTAATCCTTTGTCAATTGTTTCATGTGCTATTATTTTCTCCCATTCTGAGGGTTTTCTCCTTGTTTATAGTTTGCTTTTCTGTGCAAATCTTCTAAATTTAATTAGGTCCCACTTGTTTATTTTTGTGTTTATTTCCATAACTCTAAGAGGTGGGTCATAGAGGATCTTGGTGTGATTTATGTCATCGAGTGTTTTGCCTATGTTTTCTTCTAGGAGTTTTATAGTTTATGACCTTACTAGGTCTTTAATGCATTTTGAGTTTATCTTTGTGTATGGCATTAGGAAGTGTTCTAATTTCATTCTTTTACATGTAGCTCTCCAGTTTTCCCAGCACCACTTATAAAAGAGACTATCTTTGCCCCATTGTATATTCTTGCCTCCTTTGTCTAAAATAAGATATCCATAGGTGCTTGGGTTTATCTCGGGGCTTTTAATCTTGTTCCACTGGTTTCTGTCTTTGTGCCAATACCATACAGTCTTGATGACTGCAGCTTTGTAGTATAGTGTAAAGACAGGAAGGTTGATTCATCCAGCTTCATTCTTCTTTCTCAAAATTGCTTTGGCTATCCAGGATCTTTTGTGTTTCCACATGAATTGTGAAATTTATTGTTCTAGTTCTGTGAAAAATGCCATTGGTAATTTGATAGGGATTGCATTGAACCTGTAGATTACATTTGGTAGCATAGTCGTTTTCACAGCCCAGGAATCTGGAATCTCTCTTCATCTATTTATGTTGTCTTTAATTTCTTTCATCAGTATCTTATAGTTTTCTGTATACAGCACTTTTGTCTCCTTAGGGAGGTTTATTCCTAGGTATTTTATTCTTTTTGTTGCAATGTTAAATGATATTGATTCCTTAATTTCCCTTTCTCATATTTCATTGTTAGTTTATAGGAATGCAAGTGATTTCTGTGTATTGGTTTTATATCCTGCTACTTTGCTAAATTCACTGATTAGCTCTAGTCATTTTCTGATGGTATCTTTAGGGTTTTCTATATATACTATCATATCAGCTGCAAATGGTAAGAGCTTTACTTCTTCTTTTCTAATCTAGCTTTCTTTTGTTTGTTTTCCTTCTCTAATTGCCATAGCCAGGACTTCCAAAACTGACAAATAATAGTGGTGAGAGTTGGCACCCTTGTTTTGTTCATGACCTTAAAGGGAGTGCTTTCAGTTTTTCACCATTGAGAATAATGCTTGCTGTGGGGTTATCATATATGGTCTTTATTATGTGGAGCTAGGTTCCTTCTATACCCATTTTTGAACAGTTTTTTATATCATATATGAGTGTTGAATTTTGTCAAAAGCTTTTTCTGCATCTGTTGAGATTATCATATGGTTTTTGCCTTTCGGTTTGCTAATACGGTGTATCACATTGATTTGCATATATTGAAGAATCCTTGCATCACTGGGGTAAACCCAACTTAATCATGGTGTGTGATCTTTTTCATGTGCTGTTGAGCTCTGTCTGCCAGAATTTTGTTGAGAGTTTCTGCACACATGTGCGTCAGTGATGCTGGCCTGTCATTTTCTTGCTTTGTGTAGCCTTTGTCTGGTTTTGGTGTCAGGGTGATGGCGGCCTCATCAACTGAGTTCAGAAGTGTTCTTTCCTCTGCAGTTTTTGGAAGAGCTTTAGAAGGATAGGGATTGGTTCTTCTCTAAGTGTTTGATAGAATTCACCTGTGAAGCCATCTGACCCTGGGCTTCTTTTTGGGGGGAAATTTTTGATCACATTTCAATTTCTGTGCTTGTTACTGAATTGTTAATAATTTCTATTTTTTCCTGATTCAGTCTTGGAAGATAGAACTTTTCTAAGAATCTGTCCATTTTTTCCAGGTTGTACATTTTATTGGCATATAGTTGTTTGTAATAGTCTCTTATGATCCATGGTATTTCTATGTTGTCTCTTATAACCTCTCCTTTTTCATTTCTAATTTTGTTGATTTCATTCTTCTTTTTTTCCCTGATGACTCTGGCTAATGGTTTCTCATTTTTTTTTATCTTCTCAAAGAATCTGCTGTTTGTTTTCTTAATCTTTACTGTCTTTCCTTCTTTCTTTTTCATTTATTTCTTCTCTGATATTTATGATTTCTTTCCTTCTACTAACTGGGTTTTTTTGTTGTTTTTGTTGTTCTTTTTCCAGTTGTTTTAGGTGTAAAGTTAGGTTGTCTGTTTGATGTTTTTCTTGTTTCTAGAGGTAGGATTGTATTGCTATAAACTTCCCTCTTAGAACTGCTTTTGCTGCATCCAGTAGGTTTTGAGTTGTGTTTTCATTGTCATTTGTTTCTAGGAATTTGTTGATTTCCCTTTTGATTTCTTTAGTAAC